CATTTTTCTTGGAACTGAAGGGTTAAATCAGATTTACAACATGATAAACTACGAGGCTGTCATTTGTATACAGATCTTGTGTTTATGGAATAAATTCTGTCTAACAAATTTGGTTCTCTAATGAACTATGCAAGCTTTTCTAGTAATTTTTATTAAAATGGAAAGCTTTTCTCTCTTGGAACTTAATTTTTATTGAGAAAAGGCTGAATTCAGTGACCAGTTCACAGGTGTCTTTGAATTTTCTACTAGGAATTACATGCCTTAATAAGGTGAGACAAAAGAGGAGCACTACTCAGATGGTATGTTTTCTTCACTTCTGGCCACCAACCTGGGCCCTGAATTTTCTCCCTCTGCCTAGGAATCCTGCGGGCAGAACTCCCAGAGGCTCTGCTCTGTGCTGTTGATCTGCGTGTTTAACACGCTTCGTAGAACTGGAGCTGCAGCTCGGTGGCTGCGATCCTCTGGTTCAAACATTCATCTGAGGTCTCATCTTTTATTTACTCTCTACGTTACATTAATCGCCAAGTACTCAAGGCCTACGACGTGCCTTGAATGATATGAATACTTCAGTTCAGAGCGTTTATGGGCAACAGGGAACATCCATAATAACTGAGAGTCGACGTCATTTTTCCCTTTCTTGGCCTTCACGTCTGTCAGTTCCTTCAGATTTCAATGGCAACACCGACGTGGCAGTGACTCCTAAGACACCCTAAGTCGTAAGAGCAAGCCATTTGTTTGCCCTTTCACGCTGATTGTGTGCTTCATAAAGAAAGCTATTTGGAAAGACATACATTTACGTAGTTCGTATTTTAGCAGTTTTTAAATATACCTCCTCACCAAAACACTCACTTTTCCTCTTATGTGACTTGACCATTAGTATTCCTTAAAGAATTTATTCTAGAACTCCATTTACGTTGATGCTGAATATACATGACCATCCTAAATTTACTACGTTAATTTTACTTTCTTTTCTAATCAATTTTAGACTTTTTTAAATTTGAAGGTTTCATCTTTCCAATAGCAACAGATACAAAAATAAATCTATTGATGTTTCAAAAATTATCTGGAAATAACATAAAGGGAACAAACCTAATAATCCACAATTTATTTTGATGCTGGGAACAGAGAAAATCTGCATCACAGACTTCCAACAGTACTTGGCTTATAGAAATGGTCTTTCTTCAGGGGCTACTAACTTTAGCTGCTTAGTCAATTCAAATCAGCATATACTCAAAAGGAAACTATTCTTACATGTAAATGTTCTCCACCACGTCTTTATGCAGCCAAAGACAACTAGAACGTTTTTGTTCACTCAGGGTTAAGGAGATTCCTTATAAATACTTGTATATCAAGTTTGACTTCAAAATCATCTAACTTACAAATATTGAATGGCTTTCAGTGAAAAGTCAAGAGGTATTAAACATCAGTAATCTCAGTATTCTCTCAGGATTCTTTTCTCATTCCCTAGAGCTTTGGAGAGATGTACAGATACTAATTCGTCTTCCTATTAAAAACAAAAATGGTACTACAGAAACAGCTTTGGAGTTTGGAAGTGAATACTAGAGCCAATATCTTCAGGGAAGTGGATTTCGTAATAGCTACATACAGGAATTAAGAGCTTCCAGAGAGGTCCTTCACATAGTTTTGCTTTATATGGTGTTATTTTTATGCTTATACTCAATGGAATTTAAATAATAATGTGGTTATCTTTAAATTCTTTTTGTAGCCATTGTGACTTTACAACCCATTAATATAATGGTTACAAAAAGGAATTAAAGAGATCCTGGGCATATCGGAAATTGTGCTTCATAGGATAACATTACATAGAATTTAAAGGCCAATTCCTCACGACGGCACTGAAAGTATATATAAATTTAACAGACATAAAAGTTGTAACCAGGCAAATTTAAAAGGTTAGCAACTGTTACTTAATTCATTTTTGAATGAGAAATGACTTTTAGTTTTTGGACATTCTGATTCAGATATGAAGAGAAGGAAGAACCTGAGACAGGATGGAGCAAAAAACTCAGCTGGTATTTTTAAAACTGGGGACTCTGCAATGGCTGCACATTTTAATGAATGACAAAACACAGTTCATGAAAAATGGAGAGGGGGAGGAAAATTTGAATCTGGTAAAGAAAAAAATATGAGGATTACTGTATTTCTAACAAAGACCTTAGAATTATAAAATGGAATTCAAAATTAATACTTTATAATAGTCCGAAAGTACTGCTGCTTATATGTAGAATAGGTTTTAAGAAATCAGCATAACATATAAACACTACAGACATGGAATTTACTATATTTGAAATTCATTACTTGGTAATGCCCTTTTACCATACAAGGTCCTTTACCCTACAAACTATATAAAGGAAAATTTTAACTGCATAAATGAGTTTAAGTATCTGACCATGTTGTAGAACAAAATGAGCAAAATCAAACATTTATCATCATCTTGACTGTAGGAGGAAGACACTGTGTCAAGGCGGGCCGAAAGAAAATAAAAACAAATAGGAAATACCTAACAGTTACTTCAAACAAAAAGTAGATACATTATCGCACATTCCCTTTGTATACATTACGTAGTTTTTGTGACTTTTAAGAAATCTTTAAAGAACAGTGACGTGATATGTAAACTTTAAATAGTGAAGTCTTGGACTTTAAAAGGTTGTTTTTCACATCCAATATAACTTATTTTAGAACTGACAAATTATTTCAAAAGATTATCTAAGTGTCACAAACAAGCAATATATACATACTGCAATTTTATTTCAATCGCACAAACGAAGTTAGCGTGTAGGAAATTTAAATGAAATAGTTATGGTAAAAAGAGCAGAGAACTGAAAAATCTAAAAAGGAAGTACACCTAAAGCACGAGGATTCAACATTCGTTAGGGTTTCGTCTTCAGTTCTGATTGACACTTGATGCTTGCAAATTTTTAAACAAACTTTTAAATCATGATGACTATTCTGAAGAGATTTCAGCACCAGCACTAAGATTTGTACATTCAATTTGTTTGCAATTGACTTGTCAGCCATTTACATAGTGTATAGTACAGGTTTGTCACAGGTCAGATCACAGTGTTGAGGAAAGTAGTACCTTCCTGTAATTCGAAAGGATCCCCTAAGCTGTACTCAGCTCAAGACATCCAATGTACAAGAGCACAAAAAACCATCGTAATAATGTGGTTCTAAGGAACATAGTTTTGATAAAGAAAGTAACTTAAGCTTCTGTTTCCCATTTCAATTACTGAAATCTCTAACAACGACATAACTGTCATGTATGACAGCAAATGTATATAATTCAATCTAACTTTGTGGAAAGAACACATTTAGCAATCTGGGATAATGCAAAATGATGGAAAATATAGCGTGATTCAACACTGGTTCTTTTTGTCATTTTATACAAACATCATGTTAATATCAGACCAAGGCACAAAACGTTCAGTGCATAAACCAGTTTAAGATTTAGCATTTTATTTTAGTCTTTTATCTTAGTTTGGACCACTTGTACCCAGTACTCTACCTACTATAGACTATTTAACTTACCCAACAAAACCAAAAGAGATTTCTGACCAGATTTATAGGGGACATAAATGTTTGTATTGTCAAAGTGTTTGCATAACCAAAAGTACAATAATAAAGATGAAAATGCCTCCTATTTCTTTTAGAAAATAGTACTTTATAAGCTTGCTGCATCTTCAATGTCTTTACTACTACTGCATGACAATGAATACTTGATAGAAAAAGAACTGTATATTTGAATTATGATAGCTCATCCATCACAGTTCAATCTAAAAATGAAATTTATCCAGAAACAGGAACTATTTTAAGAAGGAAAAAAATTCCCTCATTCAAACTTCTTTGTAGTGGTAATGGCTGCAAATCTGCAGCACTGAGAAAACTATGCTATCAACAAGCTTTGTTTTATGAACTGAGATCTTAGTATGAAATCTAGAAAGCAGATGAGAGTAAATTATTTCTTCAAAATTTTAGTAAAACATCTGATAATTGAAGATTTCAAAGCAAATATGGCACATAATAACTCAAGCATAAATCAAGATGGAGAGCCTGGAGAACTTTTGATTTTCTAAATTTTCCAGAAAGCTACCATTGCAACATATAGGATTTCTTCCCTATTTTCATCTTATCAGTTTCAAAGAAAGGGAGTGGATTACACAGAGACAGCACATGTGTGCATGTGTACACACACGGGGTGGTAGGCAGAGTATCTAATTCCTTTGTCCCAACACCTAAGTCTCACTTTACTTATTAAAAGAAAACTACAGAACTCCTCATTGGTTTCCCTTTATATAATGATTTCTGTGACCTTAATTGCTGCCATCATTGTTATTTCTTGTATTTCAACATAACAAAATTCAAAAGCAGCTTCTTAATCAGGAACATGTATCTAAACACCTGTATAATTGCAGGGGCACCTAGGTAATAATAACTGCTAAATTCAGTGATCAAACTTTTGAGTTCCACAATAAGATATAATTCATGTGAAGCTCAGAATCATGTTTCAGACCATTGAAATTACCGATTAAAATACAAATAGCTGAAGACATGATGTAAAAGATTAAGTACTTGGTTTTGTAACGTATTTACCAATTAAAGTCACAAAATATTCCTCATTATTATTCATGCAGGTAATTGAGAAAAAAGACAGTGCAGAAATTAACTTTAAATAAAAAATTATTCCTTTCCTTCCTCCCACTCCCCTATACTCTACAAAATGTTTTCCCTGGGACTAGGCCTTAAAAAGGCCACTACATATTAGTGTGACATGCATTACTGTCTGTGATTAAAAAAGCTAACTTTGTGGTGACTGTAATTACATTATAAAAATGTCCACATGCATAAATCTAAAAAAGGTTGAAAACCTACAGTAAATCTACAATATATTGTTTTACATTTGACCACTGGTTTGTGTTATGTAGAAGTCATAGATTTGGTAAAGCATTATAACAATTTAGGAAGGCATCTAAATCTTTAAATTCTGGATGAATTTTATGTTTTAATCTACAAAATTGCATGAAGGCTAATTCAAGAGACTTCCTATCATTCTAAAATTCCTCAAGCTGGACAAATCATTTTAGGACACTTCCTTATAAATATCAACCTCTGAAAGCACTTACGATTCCACTTGTTCCACATTTTATGATCTTAACCTACATAGGGCTGATCTCAATTATTCATGGAATATCAAATATGATAGGAAGACAAACCTGAGAGAAACATTTACAATACAATAGCATAACTTGCTAAATTCTTCATGAGTACTCTCTGAAAAAAACTTCTTAAGCCTTTCTCCTCTTTATTTTAGCAATGTATTGTGGAAAATGTGCAATTTCATCTTGACATGAAAATATCTCAATGCACGGTGATCCTGCCCGATGAGTTTAGTATTTTCTGCATAACTGTTACAGGAACTTTTACATGACACTCTTCCATTCTGTTGTAAAGATCAGAAAAAAGCAGCAAACTGAGGGGGAAATAGCTTATCGCCAGAGTCATGATATCTGAAGGCTTTCAGAGTATGTCGGTTTTTCCCTCCTTCTGACTGTCTCCATCTTCTTCTGACAGCTCATAAAATGTAGGGGTTTGCTGTTGTTAATAGATGTTGTTTGTCGGAATTTTTTTTTCTCCAGATTAAAGTCCTATCTCTCCTTAGTTTGCTTCTCTATGCAGTATTTGACTTGCTCAGTTCCTGCCTGATTGCTGGGTAGAAAAGAAAAAGTAAATATAAAGTAAAATAAACGAGTGATTCATTCTTAAGAACTGTGTTCAAACTCACAGTAATAAAAAATATATATTAATTTTGCATCTTTCATTGCATAGTTCTTTTACTAATACAAAGATGGTACTAATTTCTATATAGGTGTATTTATTTTCCCTTTTTGTATACGAAATGAAAACACTGATTATCTGGGCCCCAAAACAAGAGGGCAGTGGAATGAATGAGTAGAGGTAATCTAGGGAAACATTTGTTCATCTGGTTTTTCATCTAATAATAGACAACACTTGAATCTCAGGAGTATTGTTTACCCCCATTTTTACAAATAATTTCCATTATATGAAAGAGAGAGCTCCTCCCTGACATCCTAAGCCAAGTAAAGGGCAAGATACTATGGAAAAGTAATTGCCCTCAAATAATAAACTGGGTATTTTTAAATGCACATTTTCTAAAAATAACTATTCTTAAATATTGTTTTAAAGGGGTAGCAAATTTGTGCACTTACCATCAATGAGCTCTTCTTTTAGCTTTGTTAATTCTTTTCTCATTTCATCTAAAAT